GGTGGGGGGGGGCGCTGGGGTTGAGGGGATGGGGGGAAATGTGGTTCTCTCCCCGGTCCTGATGCTCAGAAGCTGTGTGACTTTAGGCTGCTCACTCTACCTCTCTGAGCCCTATGCCTTCACCTGTCAAACGACCAGAATTATTAAACCCCACCCAATGGCGGGTGGGGGGGGGTGGTGGTATTTCGAAGTGTAGGATTTCCAGTCCAGGGTTTCTTTCCTTGTTTGCCGGAAGGGGGAGGGCAGGGGTGATAAAACCCTGGGCCCGAAGGTCCCCTTGATTACTTCCTGGCTGAGACTGTGGCCTCTTTGAAGGATGCGGTTACCCCACCTTGATGACCGAAGGCAGCACAAATGTCAGGGGGGTTAGAGTGATATTCTGAGACGCTCGGGGCAGGAGGGGATCGAGGTCCTGGGGTGGGAGGAGAAGAAGGGGAAAATGAAGAGGATGGGGGTCCCCCCCCCGTGCCGCCCCCGCCTGCTCCCTTTTATTATCTCTGTCCCTTCTCTTTGTAGGCAACTGGAATTATTTTGGCTGGGGTGAACAGCAGAGTAAGTACTCAGCTTGATGTTCTGGGAGGCCACGGGGAGGTGGGGGCCTTGGCAACCCTGAGGCCCCCCTGCCCGACCGCCGGGGAATCGGGGAGCCGGTGGCGGGGGGGCCTGAGGACTCATAAGACCCCGCCTGTGCCCTCCTGTCCCTGACCATTAAGGTCTGTCTCGAGGGTCCTGCTCTGCTCGCTCGGGGTGGAGGGATTCCGCCGGGAGGAGTGGGCATTTCGACCAGAGACCTGTCTGTCTCCAGCTGGGCACTGTGACCCCTTCCCCCCTGTTCCCCGTGTATAACGTCATCTCCTCTCCTGTGACTCCTTCCTGTCTTTTGTCTCCCCACCTTCCTCCTCTGCCGGGAAATGGGCCCCAGTGTCACCCAGAGGGGGGTAGGTATGGGGGGGAGAGGGTCTTTGAGAGAGCAGCCGGGCAGGGAACCCCGGGCACGGATCACTCCAGAGACCTCAGCTCCCAAAGCCCCCTGCCATCTTCCTCCAATTTAACCCCCGGGGGAAGGAGACCAGCCCTCCCCTCCCCCAACACCTGGGTGCCCATTTATCTCCCCAAGGAATAGCTCCCTTTCCTCCATGTCTTGCCCCTTCCAGAAAAATCCAGGCTTATGGCCTGAACGTGAATCTCCCTCCTTCCCTTTACCCCACCAACTAGGAACGCCTCCACCAGTGCCCACAACCTGACGGCCAGACCCCGCGTCCCCCTTCCCTCCGGGACCAGGGGAAATGTTTACCGCTACTTTGATCCGGAACAATTTGTCAAAAACCCATTTAGCCAGAAAAGCCATTCGGCAAGCAAGAGGGCCCGGTACCAACCCGTTTGCCACAGACAAACGGCACGGTCGACAAACAGAGATATTTTTGGTTAAAACCAACGTGGCGAAAGCTGATCGCTGGGTCAAGAAGCACAAAGACAGTCGGGCCAGTGGGTTGAAACACAAGTGGCTGAAAATGCCTCTCTGGGCAAGCAGGCAATTCGGTCAAAAGCCATGTGGGAGGAAGCGGAGTCAGGGCGGAAGCAAAATAAAACAAAACCAAAAAACCCAAACCGATAGAAAGCAATTTGCCCCCCAAAACTGGACAATGTGTCTGGAAAAACAAACAAACAAACAAACACCGTTCGCCGACTACACCCGCAGCGTCAGGCAGTTTGGCTGGGAGCATCTTGGCCTGGTCCAGGACAGTTGGGCAGAAAGGATGCCGGTTTGGTTAGAGGCTCTACACCCAGAAAACTGGGTAGCGAACAAATGGGTCGAAGGAACAATTCGGTAAGGTTGACAACTCGTCCAGGATTCCACGGGGACACTCTGTCCGGATTTCAGATCCCCGGCTTCAGGCCTCCGTGGCCTCACAGTTATACCCTGATGCGTGTAGACCTGAGCCGTGGAAATTCACATCTGCCTCTGCCTAAAATGCCGGCACTGATGGCACCCAGCACATCAGATGGTGGCCGCTTACGACAGGGACAGGATAAAAAGCTCGTAGGTCACAGTGGCCCGAGTCAGATGAGAAACCAGGAGGCCAGAGTGACCTTGATGAGGCTGGCTTTGCTCGCTGAGAATGAATTCAAGGTTTCTCAAAAGGCAAACTAACTTAGGGAATGAATCCAAATAGGTGTTTACATGAAGGATGAACTTGATTTTTTTTAACGTTTGTTTATTATTGAGAGACAGAGAGAGACAGAGCACGAGCAGAGGAGGGGCCGAGAGATGGGGAGACACAGAATCCGAAGCAGCTCCAGGCTCTGAGCTGTCAGCACAGAGCCAGATGTGGGGCTCGAACCCACGCACCGTGAGATCATGACCTGAGCCACCCAGGCGCCCCCCCCCCCACCGTTCACCCCATTTAAAAAAAATGGACCTATTTGTCAAATACATAGAAACAGACACAATTAGCTGGGGGGGGGGGAGTTAGGAGATTAAAATAATAAGGCGAGAAAAATACACACACATCCGGAACACGAGCAAAGAAACCTAAAGGCATTAAAAAGGGGCAAATCACCCCCCTTGGCATTTAATACCACCGGTCAATTCACGCCCTGGGCCACCTAATCTGGGCCTTCATTTCTTTTCTCTTGCAGCCCATTTGTTTTCCAGGGTTGCCTTTTAAATAAATTGAGTCTCTACTGTCCTAATCACAATCTCGCATCCTTCGACGCTGTTCTTTTTTTTATCAAGGAAAACAAACCACACTAAAATGCCCTTTAGTGCTTATAAAACACTTGAAGTTCAGCACTCTGCCCTGTTCCATTCGGCCGTAGATTCTGGGTGCGCAATGGTCTTGCCTGACCCGAGATCCTGCATTCATTCTGGCAAAGATCCCTCTTCTTGGGTTAGCAGACAGCGAAGACTCCCTAAGTCTGAGAGACTGTGTTGGCCTCCATTGGACGCCCTCTCTCTCCCTCCCCTCCTCACCCTCTTCCCTCCCCTCCTCTCTCTTCCAGACGATGACCCTGACAGTGCGGTGGACGATCGCGACAGCGACTATCGCAGCGAGACAAGCAACAGCATCCCGCCACCCTATTACACCACATCCCAGCCCAATGCCTCAGTCCACCAGTACTCTGTCCGCCCACCACCCCTGGGCTCCCGGGAATCTTACAGTGACTCCGTGCACAGTTATGAGGAGTTCTCCGAGCCGCGGGCCCTCAGGTAGCCACGGTGTTCAGGAAGGGGATCCGTGTGCGTGCCTGCGCGTGTATCTGGCTCTGGGTCCCAGAGTGGAGAGGGGAGTAGAGGACCTGGGGGAGCTGGGCGTGGAGGTCAGCGGGTCCAGGAAGGCAGCATTCTTGTAGGGTAGTAGGGCCCTTTCTTTACGCTAAACCTGGTAAGAAGATCTCACGAGCTTGGTCAAAGGGGGTGTGCTTTGGCTGACCCCCCCCTTCCCGAGCGGTGCCCCCGAGACGTGGGGGTGCCTGGGCGCTCCCTTTAAGGGCGCTGGCGATTTAGGGAAGAGTCTCCCAGCAAGCGGCCGGCTGGTGGTCCTGGCGTGGTCCTGCCCTGATGGCCCGACTCTGTTTCTGACCGGCAGGCTCGGGCACAGTCCCTCGGGAGCTGCCCCTGCGCGCTCCGGCCTCTACCGCTACCCCCTCGAAAGTCGACTGGCCCTAGACCTGTCCGACAGGCGGGCCACGCCACTGCCCGGTGCGGGGCGCTGGTCTCCAAGCCTGTGAGGCTGAGGGTCGTGCCTGCCGCCGTCCTTCCGCGCCGACCCGGATCACCCAGCCCTGGTTGCCAAACAAAACCGCGACGCACGGGGTATTAGACGGGTCGCACGTTTGTAAAGCGCCTAGAGGGGCGTCCGAACGTGCCACGTAGTGACTGTTGTGTCGACAGCACAAACGATACCGTTTGGAGCTAACTGGGTGCCCCGTGGGTGCCCAGTGATTTGGGGTTGTGGGTCTTTTTCCGATCTACCTGCTCTCTCCAGAATCCGGTTCCCCCATTCAAGCCTCACTCCCATTCATTTGCATACCCAAGCTGGCTCAGGCTGAAGCGATTGTGGGAACAAAGTTTCAACCTGTCGGAAACAGCTGAGAGAGTCAGAGACCAAATATTAGTGAAAAGGAAAGGTCTGCCCTTGGAGAAAGAGAAAATGCCAGAAAGGGTTGGCTGGGAGAAGTCTGTCTACCGTGAGCATTCCTGGGACAGGATGGGGGGGGGGAGTCGGGGTAAGAGGAACCCTCTCCTCTTGTGCTTTGGTCAGGCTACACAGGAGTGAGGGGAGACCCTCCAGAAGCAGGGGGGAGGAGAGGATGTAGAGGTAGAAACAGCTTGCATTCCCCTGAGAGTGACTCGAGCCGCGCTCCCTGGCCATCCTGGCCGTGCTGCCTGGTGCTGGATGATCCGAGAGGCTGGGGACACCGAGCCGGACCCAGACATTCCATCCCACAAGCCAGGGCTTGGCTGGAAGGAGGGGCAGGGCGGGACACTCTAGCAGTGGGGAAGGGCAGGGAGGACTTCCCGGAGGAAGGTGCCTGGCAGCCCCAGAAGGATAAATGAGAAGTCCGAGGGAGAGAATTTCAGGCAGAGGAAACAGCTCAGCCACAGGCTGAGATCAGGTCCCAGATCATGATCAGGAAGGCCCTTGGGTGGCCAACTCAGGGGCGTGGGAGCCAGGGGGAGCATCTGAGGGGGGTGAGAGCTGTGTTAAGACTCAGTACGTCAGAGCCAGGATGGGAGGATGGCCCCAAAGACGAGCCTGGGGCAACTTAGGCGGCGCCTGAGGTCGTAGGTGGACACATCCAGGCCTATGCTGGGATTCCAGTCCTGGGCTGCCGCCCTCCCCAGGGACCCCAGAATGTGCCGGGATGGACTTCAGAGTTATTATTCACCAGCAGAGGGAGCTGGAAGTCCTTTCCAGCCAAATAATACTTGCTGATCCCTCACCTGTCCCCTGCCATCTACAAGGCGGGCCACTAAAAAGCAATCAACTAAATGCATAAACTAGCAACCAATGGCGAGAGGGAGAGACCCCCGTTTTGGCCCCTACAGCATCCCTGGAGCTGGCTGGGGAGAGGGGTCCCGGTCCTTGAGAGCAGAGGAAGTATTTAAGACAAGGAATGATGTTTGTTGAGTGACTGAGTGAATGATTAGAAGGGGGACGAGTGGTGGCCCATGCGTCATGCTGCCTGCCCTCAAGCAGGGCTAGGTGTTCCTTCCTAGTCATGTCCAGCATGACCCGGGGCACACCTAAGGACCCGACTTGGCGGGAGGGTGGGGGAAACTCACTCAAAGACGACATTTCAATGGGCACCAAAAGAGAGTCTGGAAGGGTGTTCCTGGAAGAGGGCACAGCAAGGGCAATGGCTCAGAGGTGGGCGCTGATGCAGGGGCTCTGGAGGAACAGTGAGAAAGCCAGTGTGGCCGGAGCAGGGGGGGAGAGATGGGAGCACGGAGGGAGATGAGGTGGGGAGGCTGGAGGGTTTGGGCCACCCTGGGGTGTAGGGCAGGGCCCAGATTTTATACCAAGGGCTCTAAGGAGCTACGGCAGGTTTTAGAACAGGGACGTAAGTGCCTGCGTTTATGATTTGAAAAAGCCCCTCTGTGGCTTCCATGGGAGGCGAGTGCTGTCGGGGACAGGAGGGGACGTTGGGGCAGCGTCTAGATTCGGGGACATCAGGAGCCATGGCCAGGTTCGAGCTGCAGAAGCACTAAATCTCCCAAGACTGGAGGTGAGGCACTGATTGGGGTCCCCAGCACATCGGAGGGGCCCAAGGACAGGAGTGGCGCCCGGCGGGTTCTCCAGGCCGAGGTTTCCCGGGTACCCGGGGCAAGGCCAGGTGCCCCGTAGGCACTCCTCCGCCAGTGCTGAGTGAATGACCGGGTGGTGGCGCCTGCGTGACGCGGG